GGTTCTCCATGGCCCTAGTCTGAGGCCAGCTGTGGCTTGAGTGCCAGAGGGTAAGGAGCTGGATGGCTTCTTCCTGGTCTGCCTTCAAGTGACCTGCCTTTGCTGCTTGTCTTCAGGTTGCTTGTGTTGGCCATGCCCTGACTGGAGCCCGAGGCCTTGAAACCTGCTGAGACTGTCTGGCAAGTGGACTTCTGATACCACACTGCTGTGTGCCGTGCACTAGGCTACACATTGCCTGGCCATTGTGGGGAGGAGGTGATGACTTTTATGTAGCAGGATCACAGGCAGGGTGTGCAGTGGGCACTGGGCATTTTCTTAAGTTTTGATACTTTATTCTCAGCTATTAATAATACAAAAACCAGGGCCCGCTGGTGGCATAGCGGTTAAGTGCGCGCGCTCTGCTTTAGCGGCCCGAGGATTTGCAGGTTGGGATCCCGGGCGCGCACCGACGCACCGCTTGTCAAGCCACGCTGTGGTGGTGTCCCATATAAAGTACAGCAAGATGGGCATGGATGTTAGCCCAGGGCCAATCTTCCTCAGCAAAAAAGAGGAGGATTGGCGACAGATGTTAGCTCAGGGCTAATCTTCCTCACACACACACACACAAATATAATAATACAAAAACCCTCTTGTTCTTAAGACTTCTAGTAGCACCTAAAATGTCTCTTCTCATGGCTCTTAAAAAGGGCTTAGTGTTTTTACATAGATCATTACACATAAATCCTTGTAAGGTGTGGGGTTTTATCCTCATCTTACAGGTGAGGAAACAGAGGCATGGGAGGTATTAATAGGGGTTGGAAGTCAAGTCTGTCCAACACCTAAGCCTAGGCTTCCACTTGCTGTCCTCACCTTTGGCCCCTGAAGGCAGCCATCCATCCCACACCATCAAGGCAGGCTGGAAACTGGACAGGCTGGGAGGCTCGCAGAAACCCTCCCGTTGGACACAGCATGCTTAGCCTCCAGCAGGGACTGGCCATTGTAAGCACTGCAAGCACAGCCTTCAGGATCTAGTCGCAGCAGAGCTCCTGAGGGCCTTCCTTATTTGGCCTCGTAGCTTCTCTCCCACAGCATCCCAAATTCAGGCCTTTGCCTAGGCTGGCCGCTTAGTTTAGGTGCATATTTTAGCAAGCCTCCCCTACCACTATCCCCTGCCCCCAGGCTGTTTCAGTGTCCTGTAGTCCCCATGCCCCGGACTTCCTGTAGCAATTCCTATCAGTCATAATGGCCTTTTAATCTGCTTGACATCCCCCACCAGACCCGGCTTGAGCAGGGACCTTGCCTGCGAATCCACAAAACCCAGCCCCTGGCAAGTGCTAGCAGGGGGAACGCTTGTGGAATGGACGACTGCACGGCCCTGTGGCCTCCATTTTGGCCTCTGGCGTGGAGGCCACCAGAAGACATCGTTGCTCCAATTTCCACACCTTAGCTCCGTCCCCATCAGCTAGAACTCCCAAGGAGTGCAAAAAGAGTTTGGATACCTCCCAAAAGGTACTGAGTTAGGCCAAAGCTCACGTTCCTTACCACCCCCGATGTGGGCTGAAGGGCCAGGGGACTGGGACTTGCTGTTTGATAAACTGTCATGAAAGGTATTCTGGGACTACCCTCCATAGCTGCCCCTCACTGGGACTCTAAGCACCCAGCACATACTCCTCGAAATCAGAATTCAAATGACACCACCTGAGTTTTTGGCATTTATTGTGTACCTCAAATGGCTGCCAATACTCCATTTTATGCAGTTTGTCCTTGACAATCCTGTGCGTCTGGGTTTGCAGGGCATGGGCTGGGACAGCAATGCCAGTTTACTTCCAGATCTGATGGGAATCCTCCCCTTGTCTCTTAATGGGCCATCTCCTGGAGGCAGCAGACCAGGAAAAGTTGGAGGTTCTTTTCATAGCTACTAGAAAGGACTTGAGGATGTGTGAGCAGACAGCAGACACGAGAGGCAGACTGCTCAGACTATCCCAGGTCTGAGGTCTGGGGCAGCTGTATGAGGATGGACACCACAGGCGAGTTTCAACAGCTGGTTTGAAATGCTGGCAGTTGCTACTAAACTGGCATAAGAACAAAACGTTTTCGAAAGGCAAGTGGAAATGTTTTTTTGGAGAATCTGGTGTTTCATTCAGGCAGACAGGCCAGAGTTGTGAGCTATTCATCAGAACCTCTCTGGAGGACCAGGAGGCTGTGACGGACCAACTTCACCCCATCCCCAGCCCTTACAGCTCGATACCACTGCGTCACTGCCTCCCTCACACCAGGCAGTTCTGGGCACTAAGAGGTGCCAGAGGAGGCTTCTAGGGATGGGCAGCCAGACCAAGGTGGTCCCAGCAGCCTCAAGAGCCCTCTTGCCCAGACCATCCACATGTCCAAGCTCTGGGCCAGGTTGGCCTCTCCTCAAAGGGAGGCAGCAGGTCAGAGAATGAAAAATCAGAAGCCATGGTTACATTTAAATAACTCTTAAGAACAGAAGCCCCCAGTGCCAGGGTGAGTGATCCAGGCACAGGTTCAACAGGCAAGTAGAAGCAGAGGCTTCCCTAAGGAGTGGGCACTGTGGTGGTGCCCACCTGCTCTCTCAGATCCAGAGCCTTCCCTCCACCGTCTTCATTAGAATATGAGAGCTGCCCAGACATTCACTCCCTGTTCCCAAGCTCAGGTAGGTTGGAGCCGTAGAGTCGGGGCAGTGGGGGGAATGCAGAATCACCCCAGGCTAGCTCAGGAATCTCATTTTGAGATGAACAGCTCCAGGTAAGCGCTGGTTCCCAAAGGCAGTTATCTGGGCTCCTGAATCAGAAAGTCACATTCAAGAGGAACTGGGTAAGAGCACCACAAGGCCAGGCTGTCAGCTGTTCTTAAGAAAGGCTGTTCCCCCATTCTACCCAGCCTGGGCCTGGTAGAAACCAGAGAGGAGCACTGTTTGGCACTCTGCCTGGAGGACAGGCCAGCAGCCCCACAGAGGAGTGCAGCTGTCGGCCACAGATGTGAGGCACACCACAGGCCAGCAGAACTTCGATATTCCGTACAAGCGTCAGGGAGCGGTGGCACTCTGGGCCTTCAGCGCTCCTCAGCCGTGTGTGTCTCCTGGTGTCTCACTGGGACCTGTCAGTTCTGAGTGGTCTTTAGAAGTAGCTCAAGTAGATACAGTTAAACTCTTTATTCAAGTTCACCTCCCCCCACTGGGGACATTAAAAACTGTACTACATAATGATACTCATTAGACCAAAGGCAGATCTTAATGAGAAGAAAAGGGTCCCCCTCACCAGTGTTGGTTCCAAAGGTAACTTTCCAGCACTGGAAAACAAGGTGAAGTCCACAGAACACAGAGGACAGTTTCTCAACCTTCCAATAGCAAAATAAAGACTTGTCAGCAAAGTTTCAAAGTCTACTCTAAAACCCAAATCATTCCTTACATATTTAAAATAAAAGCAGACAAATCACTTAATGCAGAAAGTTAGCATTTCAAAGAAAGTGAATCTATTCTGATTCACCCACAGCCCAAGAGCCCAGCAGGCTACTCTTCCAATTATCCTGCTCACTTCTGGACTCCGGGAGCGTCCTCACCCACTCTCCCTCGCTCTGTCTCTTCTCGCACCGGCCAGAGCATGGAACTGAAGCACACTGAGTAAATGTCAAATGAACTGAAGGCACATAATCTCTGTTCTCAATGAAAAAGCAAACTGAGTTGGGTATCTCCTCTAAAAAAAGTCCCTTTGTAGCTGTTGATTATTCAGTGGCCCCTGAGAGACAAAAGCCTCCTTCTTTTGCCTGCACTAAAGAGAAGTGTCAGTACAGAGACAGTCCTTAAACTGGCTGGTCACTGGACACAGGAGAATCATGGAATGTGCACTGGAGAGAACAGCAGCGATTCTGTCCCGCTTTGCTTCACTGGGGCATCAATGGGGCTAGCAAGGCTGAGTGATGTACCCAAGGCCACCCTGTTGGCTGCTCTGCTAATTCCCATTTCTTTGTACCTGGATTTACATGATTGAAATTTCCTCTTCCAGTCATTTATTATCAACATACTGGGCCAAGGGGTGGAGTTTAAGTTCCTGTGGATCAATGGGAAGATTAGGACATCAATTACAGCCACAAAGGGTGGGGGAAGCTAGAGCTTTGTCTCTACTAACACGTGTAGGTCATCGCATTTCATTCATGATCCCAGCTGTTTTCCTCAAAGATCCAAATTTTCTATGACAATCATCTAGGGTTTTGATAACAGCACCTAGAAACAGAGCCTAAAACTCTGGCCTGTTCCTTTTATAAATAAATAAATAATTAAAATGCAGTTCTGAGGCCAAAGCCCAGCTTGGGCTGAAGTCTTCTTCCCAGTGACATGGGCTCCTTCTTTCCCCAGACTTATGTAAACAGGGACGTTGGCACAGTTACTGCAAGAACAGCAGCTTCTATCTCCAGATTAGGGGGAAAAAAGCCCTCAGTTTTTCCGATTAGGGGGTGAATACCACTTATTCTGTAGTCAAGAGAGGCTGGCAGGCAAGGCCTTGGCTTGGGGGAAGTAGGGACATTTCAGACAGCTCCTTGCTAGGATCTCCTGATTCGTGCTAGCACTTCTTATCTTCACGGCTGGGAAATGCATCTCCAAATTAGAAAAAACCACAGAAATCACCTCCCTTTAAAAATCATCTCCCGGGGCCAGAGAGGCAGAGATTGCACAAGGCCATGAGCCAGTTGGGCAGAGGTGGGGCTGGAGGACAATGCGGGACTGGCAGCCAGGGCTCACTGTCCAGAACCTGCCTGCGTGAGAGGGGTGTGAATTCACCAGGAAGGGTCCGTCTAGACTGGGACTACTTCTCACACCTACACGGGTCCTCATCCACCAGGACCTGCAGGGAGTGGAGAACTGAGCCTCCTGAGCATCTCACTGCACAGGTCAGAGAAGGAGGGTGCCTTCACTGGTGAAAGCTGGATCCACTTCCCACCCTGAATGAGCCAGACACTACCTTCTCCCACCCTCTGGCTCACCCACCTCCCTGCTTCAGCCTCACGGCCACCTCACCAGGAAGGCTTCTGTGTGGTTCTTGGCCTTGCCCAGGCCCTGCTGTTGAGAGGGCAAGGAGGGGAGAGGGGAAGTGCTGCCACGTGGCTCCTGCCCAGGCCCAGGCGGGCAATGAGGCAGCAGGAGCAGCAGAACTGGGGTTCCAGGACTGGGCAGTGAGCAGGTGGGCACCAGCCTAGGAGAGAAGCTCCAAGAGCAGTCTCCAGATGTGCACGGTGCCAGGGTCTTCAAAGCCGGGTCCTGCAGGGGCAATGCTGGCTGCCAAGAGGAAAACCTCCCGCTGGCTATCGACAGCCTGCAGGCCCAGCTCCCGCTGCAGCTCCACCGTGCTCACGGCCTCACTCAGGTCCTGGGGTGAAACAGAGGAGCCAGTCAGAACAGAGCCGACAGTGCTTCCCAACGCCCACCCTGTCATCCATGAAATAAACTGTACTTTAGCTACCCTGGGGTACACTGGGGTCTAAGTTCCCAGAAGCGGCCTCTGGGCCTGTTAGTCTAAACTCTTCCTCATCTCTGACTTTCCTTTGTACCACCCTCTTTCACCCCATCATCAGCCGCTGAGGAAGAAACAGCACTCCTCTAAGTCAGGCCTGGTGGCACTAAATAAGGCACTTAGTCTTATTTAATTCTCATAGTCGACCCTGAACTGAGGAGGAAGTTGGCTCGGGGAGGTAAAGTCATTTAGCCAAGGAAACAGTGATAAGTGGCAGAGCCAGGTTTCAAACCCAGGTTGGTTTGAAGACCTAGCTTATAAGTGACCCTTATAGGAATCGTAGCTCAGTTTCCTAAACTCAATAGAGGAGAGATCTTACAGTAGGGTCACTTCCCAGATACGGGCCTGACATCCCCCAGACTGCTAGACACTGGACGAGAGTAAAAGAGGGCACTACAGAGCATGGCTGGTAAGAGTACATTCTAATGTCAACTCTGACCCAAGATTAAAGTGATTCTTCTTGGAGCAATTCATAGAAAGCTGGGGCCTTAGGTGTTGTCTCCAGTAGGATTGAAATTGCTATAAATTATGGTTTATAAACAGGATGATATAATTCATTGTCCAAACCAGGGTACTTCTGAGACTCAAAGTGGGCACTATTAATAATTATACCAGAACAACAGGCATCAATGGGGACTGTCTCCAGCAGACCAGGACATATGGTCACCCATTTATAAATGATTGTCAAGTATTTCCTGATAGGCAGAGGGAATCTGAGGTCAAAGACGTACAGCATCTCTCCAAGCAAGGCTGGAAACATGTCCCATGGCTCTCAGGGACATGGGCACATGTCACAGGAAATATGACAGGACTCTGTACTGTGGCAGAGTTTCACCTGGTGTTGAGAATGGCACCTTAGGTCTGTGATGCCGAGGGCTGCTGGGCCCAAGGCAGCTCTCTGGCACCCAGAAGAGGTACAGGTATAGGTATAGGTATAGTGTATATAGGTATATAGGTATAGTGCAGTCGTTAAGAGTAGGAACTTCGAGGAAGATCTGAGTTCAAGTCCTGGCTTTGCCACATACCAGCTGAAACTTTGGGCATTTAGGAATAACAGTGAGGCCTATCATGTGGTTTCTGTAGGACTGAAGTGAGGTCATGATTATGAGGTGCTTGGCACTGTGCCTGGCACACTGTAAGCACACAAATTTAATTATTATTATTATTTAATCTGTTCAACTTCTCATCACTTCCCAGCTTTAGCTCTCTGATCTAGAGCCAGAAGTCACAAAGACATAGCAGAGTGCAAAAGGCATGGGTTTTGGAGTTAGACATCCCAATTCCACTATTCTCCAAGTGGTCAACCTTGGGGAGATTACAGAATCTCTCTGAGCTTCAGATTCCCCAGCTGTAAAATGTGAATAGTACCCCATACCTTGGAGGATCAATAGAAGCATAATATAAAATGTCATTCAAAACCACACCTGGCATATAATGGATACTTAATAATTATTTTTCTCATTTCTCCAGGATGACAGATGACAGGGAGGCAAAGAGGAAGAGAGACAGAGAATGAGGATTAGGGATGAGGGAAGAGGGAGGAGCACAGGTAGAAGAGGTGGGGGATAGTACCTGAGCCAAGTGCTCCTGGTCATGGGCCTGGGCTTGAATCCCTCTCCAGGGCTCCCTGCCCTGGAGCCATCTGTGGATCAAGCCCCATGGGCCTAAGCCAGCCTCCCGCGGCCCTCACCTGCTTGTTGGCCACCACAATGACAGGCAGGTCAGGGTCCTTGTCTAGCAGCTTGTGCAGCTCCTGCCGGGCCCAGGGCAGCCGGAGCCGGTCAGCAGAGTCCACCACGAACACCAGCACGTCCACTTCATTCACAAACTCCTTCCAGTAGAAGCGCAGGTTCTGGCTGCCACCGACTGAGGAGAGGCCAGGGGCCAGCTCAGAGCCTCCTCAGGCGCTGGCTCTCTACACATAGCCCCAACCCCACCCCACTTCCAGCATGCCAAGGCTCCACCAACCAGGGGCAAGGGAAAGACCACAGGTTCCAGAGTCAATCAGACCTGGGTTTAGCTCTAGCTCTGACATTGGCTCTCCCTGGGCAAGTCGCTACTTTTGAGCATCAGTCTCCTTCTCACTGAACTTACCTAACAGGTTGCAGCAAAAGCCAAAGGTACCATATGCAACGCACCTTTCATAGGACTGGTGTGAGGCAGGTGCTCAATAAACAGAACTCTCCAGTTCTTTCTCCTGGGTTGCCTTGCCTCCTGCCAACTCCTAGCTTCCTCCTGGGTCAGTGGGGCTGTGGTCAGAAGCCAAGACTCCCTGCCCTGCCTGTGCACAGCCATTCTTTGTTCAGTTTCTCTTGTTCAGTCTGGTCACCCAATTTTCTTCCCTTGGAAATGCCATACTCAATCCTACCACCACATGGCTGCCCACACAGGACCCCCAACCTATTGCCTTCCTGTTCCTCTGCACAGTCCCCCTTGGTCACCCTGCATCCTAGTGTTTCTGGTGATACTTTGACACTTGTAGACTCTAAGCTCTTTGAGAGTTAGAGCCGTTTACCTCTGGATCCCCCTAAAGCCCTCAGCACAATGCCTGGCACACAGCAGACACTCAACAATTATTTACTGAGTGCTTACGAGGTGCCAAGCGCTGACCTGGGTGCTGGGGATACAGAGGTGAGCAAGGCAGGCAAGGACCCTGCTCTCAAGGAGCTCTCTCTGTAACCAAGACGGACACAGCAATAACACGTAGACACATTTCAGAAAGGAAGGAAACAAAACAGAAAAAGAGAAAGTGGCTGGGGTGGGGGGTGGCTTTAGATCTGGAAGGTCTCCCCAAGGAGGTGGCATATGAACTGAGTCTGGGATGATGAGAAGGGGAAGTGGCAGAGAAAAGCATTACAGAGTGAAGAGCAAGCTCGATGTGTCTGAGAAACAGACAGTGGCCAGGGTGGCTGAGGCAATGCCAGAGAGGGAGAGGAGGAAGCCATGACCGGCAAGGCCAGCCAGGACTGGACCACACAGGGCCTGTATGGCCACAGAGAGGCTGTGGGGAGCCCTTTAAGGGTTTTGAGCAGGAGTGACACGATCTCATGTGGGTTTCTGAAAGATACCGTTGGCTGACATTGGGAACAGAAGTGGAAGTAGGAAGACCAGGGAGGAGGCTGTTGTAGTACTGAGAGCTAACGGTGGCTTGGACCAAGCAGGCAGTGGTGGAGGCGGGGAGAAGTGGACAGACGCAGAACCTGCTGGAGGATAGAACTGACAGAACTAGCTAATAAAATGGACTAGGAGATGGGGGGAAGGGAAGAGTCATCAAAGATCCACAAAGGGCCCATTCTCAGCTGGGCCCCAGGCCATGCATTGTAGGAGACCACAGCCAAGGGAGTGTTGTGGGAGGGGAAAGCCCCTGAACTTGAACGGGAGATGTGAGTTTGAATCCTGGCTCAGCGACCCTATGAGCCTGGATTGTTACTGGTCTTGAGTAACACAGAAATACCAAACCCCTTCTCCCAGGGTTGGGGGAGGGGGGTGTTGTCTGTCAGACAGAGTGGGCCTCAAGTGCAGAACCCCTACTTGACCTTACTGTGTTCCTGGCACAAGAGAGAGACAGGGAAAGCTTGTTGCAAGGACAGAATCCCAGGTGAATATCAATGTTTGCTACAGTCAGAGAGGAACAATGTAGCCAGGACAGGCTAGCAGGCAAGTGCCTAAGACCAGAAGAACTGGGCCCATTCAGGCCAATAGCCAGGCCCTGAGTCTGATCCCACCACCTAGCACTTAGTTAAATGCACCCAGTCTTTATGGTTTGAGTCCTCTGGCTGGCAGGAAGCCCAGCTGCCTCTTCCCACCGAATCTGTGGCTGAACACAGGTGGCTAAGCACTGCTGCCCCCTCAATACCCTCTGCTATCCTCTCCCAGGATCTGAGGAAGCCTAACACTGAGGGCAGGGGGCTGCTTAGACCCCCTCTGATCACTCACTCAGCAAGCTCTCCCAGGGACCTGCTAGGGATGGGGCACTAGCTGGATCAGATCTGTCTGTGCCCCAGACACCTAGTTAGGGACACAGGCTGGTATGTGGCAAATACTGCAGCAGAAGGGGAGCCCAGAGGAGCCCTTAACCTCGCCTGGGGGCCACAGAAGTATTCACAGGGAGATCATGTTTGATCTAAATCTTATGAGTAGCAGTTTATCACGGGAAGAAGGGCTTTCCAGACTGAGGGAACAGTGCATGCAAAGGGCAGGGGATAAGAAAGAAAACAGCAAGCACGCTTCAGAAACAAGCAGGGGGGCACGGTGCTTAACACTGAGAGCCTAGAGCCAGGCAGTCTGCATTAGCAGACTGGCAAGCTGGGGGAGCTTGGATAAATTATTTAACTTGCTGGGCCTCAGTTTCTTCGTGTATATAATGAAGGTAGTAACTATATCCAACCACTATTTATGGAGTCGTTGGGAGGATTTCATTAAGTAATGACTGTCAAATGCTTGGCACACAAGAAATTTGAGCTGTTAGTATCTAGTGTTAGGCATGTGGGCTTTGGTTGGGGTGAGACAGGTGGCAACCAAGCGGAAGCCGCCTGATCACGAAGGGCCCTCCGAGTCAGAAGACAGAGCTGGGCTGCATCCTGTGCCCCAGGGAGGCCTGAGAAGATTTCCTACAGGGACGTGTCCCGCTTAGAAATGCATTTTGGAGCCATCCCCAGGCAAAGAGCCCCGGCTTGGGTCCAACTGAGATGATGGGGAGATGGGGTCTGTGTGTGGGGGTCTGCTCACTCTCTAGCAGGTCCACCTCGAAGTCCTTGGTGGGCAGCCGCACGGAGTTGAAGCCCCAGGTGGGGACGTGGCCTTCCAGCGGTGGCTTCCCCGACAGCACACGCAGGAACGTGCTCTTCCCGGAGCCATCCAGCCCCAGCACCAGCACTTCGCGTTGCTCCAACTCCTCCAGCGCCGGCTCCTCGTTCTCCTCGTCCTCAGGCTGCGAGACATAGGTCAGGCTGTGGCCGGCACGTCCCGCCCGACTCTTCCCGACGGAAGACCGAAGGCATCGAAGCGCCCATCCCCACCCTCCACTGTCAAGGGGCAGACAGGCACGGGCTGGTGCAGCGGGACGAGCGCTGCCTCGGAGCCCTTAATCCCAAAGCCCGTTCTCTGGCTTTCCCTGAGTGACCTCGGGCAAAACCCTTCCCCTCGCGGAGCCTCCACCTCCTCAGACTGACAATCCCCACGTCCCAGGGTCACAGCACGCGCAGCCAGGCCACCAGTCCTCAAGAGGGGCGGAGGGCCTCTCCCGGCATGCCCCGGGCCGCTCGCACTGCGCAGGCGCCGGGCGGGAGGGCTGGACCGGCGCGGGGCCGGCAACGCTCCGGGGCTCCGGCGTCCGTCAGGAAGTCCGCCTCCCGCGGCGGTGCCCCCCGGCCCCCCAAACGCCCACCCAGTCCTCGTTTTCGGGACCCACAACTGCCCGGCTGCCCGCGCGGGGCATGCGGGCTGCGGCGCCAAGCCCCAGACCCAGGCGCTCCCGGCGCGGGCAGAGCCGTGGTCACACCCCCCGGCCCGGCACTCACGTCCCACTCGTCCCACTCGGGGAGGCGGGCAGCCTCCGCGCCCCACCAGGCTTCGCCCCGGTCCCAGCGCCGCTCGCGTCCACCGCCGAAGTAGACCTTCCAGAGGATGAAGAGCACCGAGCCCAGCACGGCCGCGGCGCCGCCCAGCGCCAGCACCAAGGGGCTCAGCGGCCGAGGCGCCATGGGGCCGGGCGCGGGGCGCGGCTGCGAGCTGCACAAGCCGAGCCAGGAGGCCGGCCGAAGATGGCCCCGCTGCTAGTGCCGCTGCCGCGCCCACCCGCTCAGCTCCGGCCCACACTACAAGCCCCACAATGCACCGCCGCTGTCGCGACAGGCCGCCCGCGCCCTGGCGACGGGAGAGGGGGCTCCCGCCGGAGCGCAGGGACCTCCCGCCCCCCTGGAAGGTGCGATGTGCGGCGGGAGGCTGTCTGGGCAGGACGGGAGACCGTGATGTTGGCATCTGCCGAGCGCTTGCTGTGTGCCAAGGGGTTAGCTCACGGCTCTTCTCGGTTACCCCTTAAAACAGTGCCCCGTAGAAGGGGAAACGGAGGCCGCGATCGCACCGTAGTGCATTGGTGCAGCCTGCATTCGTAATCAAGCGATCTCTTTCCTGGGCATCCCTCAAGACTTCGGGGAGGAAATTGAGGCAAGACACCCCGGATCACACAGCTGTGGGGTGGCGGATTATGGGGTGGCAGAGGCGGGACTGAAATCCAGGTCCCTGACTCAGGACTCTCTACCCTCCGTTGGCTGTTTCCTGGACCCCAGGGGTTCTGCTCTCTTGGGGTCCTGGGGTCCTGATGAAGCAGGCGGGGCCAGGAGTCAGAGTGTTTAGACCTGACTACCTTGTCTTCCGTGACCCCCAGTGACTGCCAAGGTTTCCAGGTGTAGCACAAGGAGGAGCAGGAGAAATGGCCTGAGGTACTTGAGAGGAGGAGCTGTGAGGGGCTGTGGGGTGAATGGGTGTGTTTTATTGTAAGCCACCCAAGCCATCTTGTAGACCAGGGGGTACTCAGTGGGCTCTTTTCTACTTACCCACAGTTATGCTCAGATCCCTCCCGTTCCAGAAAACTGGCCTCCTGCTCTGGTTACCACCTTTCTCTCCTTTGCATTTCTGCTCCACTTCTAGATAATGTGTATTTCCTATTCCTCCTCCACCCACCTAGCGAAATTGCTCTCACCTGGGTCTCTAACAAACCCCTTGTTGGTAAATCCCTTTGTAAACATCTTAGTTCTTATCTTGCTTGACCTCTTGGTACCACTGAACACTGTTAAATGTTGGAGTCTTAGTAGGTGTTGTAGTCGTCTTGGGCTGCCATAACAAAATACTACAGACTGGGTGAAAAACAACAGGAATTTGGGGCCGGCCCTGTGGCACAGTGGTTAAGTTTGCACGTTCTGCTTCAGCAGCCTGGGGTTTGCGGGTTCAGATCCTGGGCGCGGACCATCAAGCCATGCTGAGTGTCCCATGTAGACGAGCAACAACTCTACAGCTATGATATACGACTATGTACTGGGGCTTTGGGGAGAAAAAAGAGGAAGATTGGCAACAGATGTTAGCGCAGGGCCAATCTTCCTCAAAAAAACAAACAAACAAAACCCAGGAATTTATTTCTCACAGTTCTGGAGTCTAGAAAGCCCAAGATCCAGGTGTGGGCTGATTCAGTTCCCTGATAATAGCCCTCTTCCTGGCCTGCAGAGGGCCACCTTCTTGCTGTGTCCTCACATGGGAGGGAGGGAGTGAGACGAGGAGGGGGAGAGAGATCTGGTCTCTCTTCCTTATCTTACAAGGACACTAATCCCATAATGGGGCCCCACCCTCATGACCTCATCTAAACTTAATCACCTCCCAAAGGCCCCACCTCCAATACTATCACATTGGAGTTAGGGCTTCAATATATGAATTTTGGGAGGATACAACCATTCAGTCCATAACAGCAGGTTAATAAATAACTCTTCCTTTCCCCAAGTTTAGAACTAATGGGGAAGTAAGGCAAAGGAGACAGCCAAATGGAGAAAAAAAAAATGTCATCTTTCTTGTCAATAGATGCTGGATTAGAGAAAGTGGCTTAGATGTGAGGCCAAAATAGACTTGCTAATACTTTCCCCTGAAACAGACAGACTATCCATTGGGTCAGTGACACAACAAATCAAGCCAGGACAGGAGTAGGATTAAGAATATTCACAGCCAGTATGGCACAGGCACCAGTCAGAAAGGGGTTGGTACTGAAATCAGAACAGAAACTGTCTAGCATCTGCTGACCTTACAGGGCCAGGGCCCTCCTAGGAGGCAGGGAGCATCCCGACCCACCCTCTCTGCACATGGGCAGTGCCAGGAGGAGAGTCCAGAGCATGCCTACTGCCTTCTCCCAAACTGCCCATTCAAACAAATCACTCCTCTGGGGAGAGGTGAGTGAGGGGTGGGGAGAGAGCCTCAGCGTATGACTCCAGTCTTGTGTTTCACACTGTGGTTCAAGACCATTAGTGAATTGTGAAATCAATTTATTGGGTAGCAACTATATGTGTGTGTGTGTGTATATATATATATATATATATATTTGTGTGTGTGTGTGTGTGTGTGTGTGTGGAAGACCAGCCCTGAGCTAACATCCGATGCCAATCCTCCTCTTTTTGCTGAAGAAGATTGGCCCTGGGCTAACATCCATGCCCATTTTCCTCTACTTTATATGGGATGCTGCCACAGCATGGCCTGACAAGCCGTGCGTCGGTGCGCGCTTGGGATCGGAACCTGCAAACCCTGGGCCGCGGAAGCGGAGTGTGCACACTTAACTGCTGTGCCACCAGGCTGGCCCCCACAACTATATATTTTTAACTATAAAATGAAACAGGGGGACTGGCCTGGTGATGTAGTGGTTAAGTTTGTGCACTCCACTTCGGTGGCCCCGGGTTCCCGGGTTCGGATCCCGGGCACGGACCTACACACTGCTTGTTAAGCCATGCTGTGGCAGCATCCCACATACAAAATGGAGGAGGATTGGCACAGATGTTAGCTCAGGGACAATCTTCCTCACCAAAAAAGAAAGAAAGAAAGAAAAGAATAGAGTGAAAAAAACATTTCATGAAACTTTTGTTTTAAACGTGTGTGCATTGTGTATGTGTGTGTATTGGGGCACCATGTAAAAAATATTTCTTACTGTAGCATGTGGTACTAAAAAATAGTTTGAAAGTCCCTGTAAATACCTCCAAGAGGAAAATGGAATGGGGGAAGGTGTGCAGGTCCCTCCTCCCCCCTACGCACACTGGCCAGTCCTTCTCAAAACTTGTTTCTACTACGCTGGGAAGCTCCTAGATGCCTTTCAAAACCTGGCCAGGGCACCAGAACACTTCTTGAGGGATCACCTCACTGGTGAGCCAGGAGCACAAGGCTCCCAAAGAGAAAAGTTAGCACCAGTGCATTTATCCAGAAATTTGCAGTCAGAAAAAAATTTTTTTAAGGGATTTAACTTTGGCATTCACATATTTTATGTCATTTCAAAAGAGAGCACCTTAATCCCTTGAGAGCTGAAGGCTCCTCAAGGTGTCATTTGGCCTTGCCTTATCTTTCCTGCCTCCTGAGACAGTGGGTGACCATCCTCTTGTGTCTCTCAGCTGGAGTCCAGTCACCCTGTGTGGTCATAGTCTCTGCCTGCGGCTGTCTCTCTGTCCCTGCCCCCCCACTTGAGGGTGGTGACTGAGACTTGTCATCTTGGAGTCCAATGTGCTTAGTATAAGACTGAGGGGCCCAGAGTTCATGCTTAGCAAATGTTTGCTCAGTTGAATCAATTGTGCTTGCTCCTCCCTTGGCTTCTATGACACATTCTTTTCTTGATCTTCTCCCTCCTTTATGACCAATCCTTTCCAGTCTCCTTTTGCCTGCCATTGGCTGCTATTACCTGAAACTAACTGGATGCAGTTGGCAAGGGAACTTTGGAAATGGAATTGACAAGAGTTAGCCTGCTGTGATACAGAGCAGAGCAGGTGAGGGCGAGGGATGGAGTCAGGAGTAAACAGGCAAATGACCAGCACAGTCCACCCCTTTGCATCCATTTTTACTCTTATATCCATTTTTAACTTTGTGCTTCCACTTAACACTTGCAATATCCATCATAAAATCAAAGTCACTCTTTACCTTCTCCTGAACAAAAGGGGAGATGAAGTCCTATCAATCAATGTATCCATCTCTGGGTGATGTTAATTCCTCTTCAGTCGTAACTCCACCTGGATCTTCCACAACTAAAGATTAAGTTATAACAAGAAGCACTGCTGACTTTCCTTTTACAGTCCAACTTCTATATTGCTTCAGAGCAGTCTTTCTAAAAGAAAAGCTGACAATGTCATTTTCAGCTTAAAATTCCCCAGTGGCTCCCTGTCTCTACCAGGATAAGTACTACATGTGGTGGACTGCTATGCAAACATTTGTCTAACTGTCTTCATCTCCTGAGAACTGTTCCCCTAATGACTGAATTAATTGAAGACCTGCCATGGTTTTGTATGACACTTGGCGCAAGTAATTAGTCCAAGGGTAATGAGTTGGGTCAGGCTGGACCAAGAAGACCCTTCCATGGAATTCTTAAATTTGGTAACCAGAGTCAATCTCCCTCTCACGGATTAAGATGTAAAACTTACCAGCCGTAGGCAGCCATTTCCCCACCTATAAAATAGGTTTGGGATCAAAGAGGCTGAGGTCGAGCAGGAAAGACTAAGACAGAAGGTAGAGCTGGAATCCTGGTGCCATTTGCATCTTTGGATACAGTTGTTCCTAAGGTCCAGGGCTTATTTTTGTTCAACCATTTTATAACTGACTTCTTCCTTCCTTCCACCTTCCTTCTTTCTTTTCTTTTTCTTTCTTTCACCACTCTCTGGGGGGTTACACAATGCCCAATCCACAGGATGTAGCCACAAACAACACAGCATCTGAGAGGGGCCCACTTTACAGTGAAGAGGTGCAGGAGTGGCTCCCTGACCAAGAGTCCCCTGGTTCTATCATGTACCATACCATCCAGAGGTAGCCCACCTCAGCAACACTGGCTCAGCCTGCTGCTTTTCAGTTATCTACACCCTTTCCAGGAAAGGAAATTTTCTCAACCTGATCTTCATACTTGCTTCTTTGGTCTTGCGCTATATCCACTCTGCTATTCACCCTAGCCTTTGACGTCTTTATTTCATCTACAACATTTTTCTTATCTGGTTCTATAGTTGGATCTTCTTTATAATTTCTTGTTCACCCTCATATTTCCAAAATCCTCTCTTTTCTTTTTTAGAATAATACTTAAAATGTTTATTTTCAATTCCTGTCCTGTCCAGTCCATTACCTCTGCTGTGTCTAAAATAAGGTAGTCTCGTTCGTTGGTTGTCTGTTTCGTGTAGGGTATGTGTCCCTCAGGCCTCTCATCTGCCCCTGTGAGCTCCTGTTTCCTTGGGGCCAGGACTGAGTGTCTAGGGGAGGGGGCAGAGCCCAAGTGTAGCCTGAACTTTTCCTGGTAAGTTGGGAAGGAGACTCTCGGGTGTACAGTCTATACCCCCTGGTTTGTACTGTCCTGAGCAGACAACGGCATCCCCAGAGAACCTCCCTGTACCTCTGTCTGCCCAGGTAAGGCTCCTACTAGAAGCTGCCACCCACGGTTGCCATAACCTAGTGCCTGGGGTATAGGGAGGGGGAAGAGGAGTGGCGGAAGAGAGGCTGCCAAGGTGCAGGCCCATTCACTGCCCTGCAACTTGTTATCTAACCCCCACCCCAAGGCTCTAAGCCACCTCCACCTAGCCAGTGCCTTCTAAGCCTGCAGTAATGGTGTGGCGACAGTGACAGGGCTGGCTGAGGGCTGCCAGGGCAAGGTGGGAAGAAGAAAGGCTACATCTACCTGAAAACTCCAACAGGGCCTAATTCTGGAACTTCTTGGAGCTCTGTCCTCTTCTGCTCCGGGCTGCCACTGTCCACACCCATGCCCAGCACTCTTCTGGTAGCCACAGGGCTGGTCTCTCAGATCTGCCAACTTCCCTTTGACTCTCAGGTATCCCCTGACCTGGGGCTGGCTTGTGCTATCAGTCATCTTGACAGCTTATCTCCACCTCATAAAAGAGGAAACTGAAGCCTGGAGAGAGGAAGTGACTTTCCCAGGATCATATAGTGAATAAATGATGCAGCTAGGGTTTGAACCAGGTCTGTGTGACTTCAAAACCAGGCTTTTAATATCCTGGATCTCACTGTACAGATGTTGGAATGTAGGTCTACTCGTTTTATCAGACTTTTCTTCTAAAAAAGAAGTGAAACTCAAGAGATTGGCTATGAAGTCTCTGACACGCGTCCTCAGTTGGATTTTAGGATGTTTCAGTTTCA